TTTATATCTTCAGTGAATTTCATGATTGTCCGGTTTTTAACAGGACAGCGAGTTTGGTTTAACGCCTTTTTGAACAGTATTTCACTCAAATAACGGCGTGCCAGCTTGATGTGTGAGGAATTGAGGGTCAAAACGATGCACGTCCTTGACGTTTATAACTTGGTGAAACCGCCGAGTATGGTGCTGGGAAATAGAGCAAATAGAGCGAGCTCTCACGGAAGACGTTGCCATGATTGCTGACGAGTTTAAATTAAATTACAATGCAGTGGTAAGTATTTTGTATTTGGGAAACAAATGGAGGGGTTTGGTCTGCGGTTTGTTTGTTGTTTAACGCCGCACTCAGCAATATTCAAGCTGTATGACGGCGGTCTGTACATGACCATACAATCCAGTGACACCAAGTCAGCGAGCCTGACCACCCGATCCCGCATTTTACGACAAGCATAGTCGCCTTTTACGGCAAGCATGGGTTGCCAGAGACCTGTTCTACCCCGGATCTTCACGGGTCTAATATTACTGACAATAGATGATACTGATTCAAATTTTACGTCCTGACTCGCTATTGGGGCTTTTTTCAAAGTGTTAGTTTTTATTGTCCCGACAAGCAAACATTTCACAAATGCTTGAATACAAATTAAATTTGGTGGAGTCTTTATTGTTACCCACCAAGTCTGTAAAGCAATTTTCGTAATGAACAAACTTCAACGTAGGTCGATGGAAGGACAAGAACGCTTTCATGTTGTCTTTCAAATATCTTTTTTAAAATTTCCCTCGACCAATAATACTTTAAGTGATCACTTTAAGAAAAAAGACACGCTTAAGTTTTTTATTCAATTTATTTTCGACCACCTATGGGATTTTAAAAAAGAAGCTGTGACAAACGATTTATATTCTGCCCGTAAAGAGAAAGAATATGAAAGAAAATTAAAGTAGCAAAAGCATTAGTTTGGCTTCTGTTAACGACAAGTGGTGATATATTTCACTGAAAAAGACACGAGGATGAATTTGTTTCAAATGTCCAATATTATTGTGAATAACTAATCATTCGACAATCAAGCGTGTATTTGAGCCCATTTTGAAATAATTAGGGTTCCCGTGCCAATATGGATATGCACTCCCACGTTGTAGATGAATATGGTTGTGGAACAACTAACATGTCGAGTCGTTTAAGTGCAAGTGGACCAAATATCACACTTATGAACAATAGTTTAGTAAGATAGAAATGCACCCATGGTCTTCTCGGAAAACTGTCTCCCTGTCATTGTTGACTTAAACTCTCCAACAAATATCATGCATGACCGCCCTGGGGAGTTTGGAACACCCAATCCACATGGATCGATGCTCATTATATCAGTCACTGGATTGTATCGTCCAGACTCGATTATTTACAGATCGCCTTCATATAGCTAGTGTGTGAGTGCGTGCGTGTCTTCTTGTACTAGTGTTCGAATCCCGGTTCGCCCCGATTATGTTTCTAGGTTTGTCAGCACCATACCCGTGCTCGTGGGTTTCACGGAAGTGGTAAACGTCTGAGACCTGCATCACTTCGGGCTTTCCTCCCACATTAAGCTGACACGCCGCGATATAACTTGAATACTGTTAAAAGCGGCGTTAATCCAAACTCACTCACTCTTGTACTAGTCTGGACTAATGCCGATTCTACAGTGCTAGCCCAATGAGATACCATGCCACAGGTTAAAATGAAAAAGCCACTCAGACAGAATATACCGACTCCGAGCCGACCAGTCCTTGTTTAGCCCCTTAACGCTGAGCGATAGGCAGGGTATCAACAAGTACCGTCTGTTAACGTCTTTGGTATGACGCGGCCAAGGATCGAAGACCTGACCTTTCGCTCTCTGGGTGGACGCTCTATCACTAGGCCACGGAGGCGGTCCATCAACTTTGGAAATGTCCTCCAAATGTCTACCATACAAAGTTCTGAAAGACTTTCCGAAAGGGGATGACGCCGTGTTAACCAAACCCATAGACAACCATCAAGTCTCAGTTATGAAATATAATAAAAAGGAGCCCAGAGATTCTCTTCATTTTCAGAAAAATCTAGACTTGCCCAATTTTATAGACTTGCTTTTTTGGACATATTTGTTTTGGGTATGTATGCCAAAACCACTCAGTGTTTGCAGCAAAGGGAAGTTTGGCGATCTTCAAATGTTCTCGCAAAGAACCACTCCCACGTTCATCGTGTGTGTCAAGAGTTTGGCATACAGAGTCATTACTCCCGGACGCAGAAAACAGGTTCCTTGTGGGGAGAATCTATTACCATTTTATAAGCACTCCTGTCAGTCCAACTAAGTAACGGCCCCCATTAATCCACTCAAATTGGGTAATCTTCCCCAACCATTACAACAGTAAACTAGCCTGGTACATTTCGATTACAAAATGAAAGGCTGTTAGACGCGAATGATCGACCCAGAAACATAAGACGCAATAAGTGAACAAATTCACCATCAAACAGTATCATTAATACGTAGCAATGCCTCTCCATATCTACAAATTGCCAAAACCAGATTCCGGGGAGTCGAATATGTCAATCAAAAAGTGCCAAGTAGTTCTTTATGTCAAATAAATCCCCGTTTTCTCGGGGCAGTTCATTGGCCATTAAACACTTTGATGTCCGTGTAATCTGCAAATGGCTTCTTTAGATCCCGGTCTAATGACAAAATGTCACGGCTTACGTCTAAACGCTGTCGACTCCCGAACCGCATGTCTCGCTTACCGATCGTGATGCAAACACTGTGTTCGCCGATTCAATACTCGTCACCTTACCGGGGAATTGTGTTTTATGATGAAAGCGAGTGATTATTCCGCCGATAGTAAATCAGCAGGAGGCGGCCCCCTTCACGGTCTCAACCATAACCTGCGCTAGAGTTTCTTCAGGGCGAGGAATATCGACAAACGGGTTTACAACAACCTACTAAGCAGCTGTAGCGCCAGTCTTCGCTGTGCGGAGTTAATTCCCTTACAACGAGATTGAGTTTGGGCGAATGTTTCAGACGACGGTAAGCAAGAACATTATTCACCGTCCTGCTTTCCATACACCCAGACTGTGCTAGCTGTAGCAACCGCTGTAGAGATGTAAAAATTCACAAATGTCGGCGGTTAATCGTAGCTATGTATGATATTTTGGGTGGGTTTCGTATGTTAAAGTCATATATGAATTAAAACAAGATGCTTATAAGGGCCTCGGGCCGATACCCCGTGCACAACTGAGGGCATTGACCTTCAATAAAAGACCCACGAAGATCCGGGGTAGAATAGGTCTTCAAAAACCCACTCTTGTCGCAAAAGGCAACTATGCTTGTCGTAAGAGACGACTAACTGGATTTTGGGGTGAGGCTCGCTGACTTGGATTTGGGGGTCAGGCTTGCTGACTTGGTTGATGCATGTCATCGATCCCAATAGAATAGGTCTTCAAAAACCCACTCTTGCCGCAAAAGGCGACTATGCTTGTCGTAAGAGGCGACTAACTGGATTGGGGGGTCAGGCTCCCTGACTTGGATTGGGGGGTGAGGCTCGCTGACTTGGTTGATGCATGTCATCGATCCCAATAGAATAGGTCTTCAAAAACCCACTCTTGCCGCAAAAGGCGACTATGCTTGTCGTAAGAGGCGACTAACTGGATTGGGGGGTCAGGCTCCCTGATTTGGATTGGGGGGTGAGGCTCGCTGACTTGGTTGATGCATGTCATCGATCCCAATAGAATAGGTCTTCAAAAACCCACTCTTGCCGCAAAAGGCGACTATGCTTGTCGTAAGAGGCGACTAACTGGATTGGGGGGTCAAGCTCCCTGACTTGGATTGGGGGGTCAGGCTCGCTGACTTGGTTGATGTATGTGACGGGTGTCTTTGATTTTGTATCGACATTAGACATTTCCTCAACTGCAGCTACAGCTACAACACCAGTTTTTTGTTTTATCATTGCGAGCCTGATTTTTTAAAGGGAAAACACGTTCTAACAATGTAATTATTGTGGCAGGCAATTTCTTTTTTTTCCTACTGCCTGAAACATTATTATGGTTTTTTAAAAGAATTGTCGTGGAAAGTTTATATTCTTAGATGAAATCCCAGGCGAACCCGGGTCTTCGGCGAGACGAGCGAACGCTTTAATCAACAGGCTATCCCACAGCCCCAGGATTGATTTGAAAGAAAACTGTGCTGATATATACCAACGAGATCGGGTGGTCAGTCTCTCTGATTTGGTTAATACACGTCATCGTAACCCAATTGCGTAAATCGATGCTCATGATGTCAGTTACTGGATTGTCTGGGCCAGACTCGATTATTTACAGACCGCTGTCATAGAGCTAGAATATTGCTGAGTGCGGCGTTTAACAACAAACTTCGAGTTGATTGTGTACTCTCCAAAACCAAAAAGGATTATGTGGACTATCAGTCTGAGTGCCTTAAATCGCTGTGCAGAGTTGCCTCCCTTCGCTGCCAGGATCCGTTTATCCAAGATTCGGCCCGATAATGATGCACGAGTTCATTTTTCCAATAAAAAAATGCAAGTTTTTGCCTGGTATTTGGGCTTATATTTTGCGTTTATGCCTCCATAAACATTAACAGGTCACGAAAACAACACACAATATGAATGTTTGACTCGATATGAAACCAAAATATCATGAATGAGGAATTAAAGGTAACAAATATCAAAACGAATTTAACCAAGAAACAAATATGCATTGAAACAGAACAGCTCATGTACTGCATCGCACAGAGCAGAACTTGGCGAATCGTTCCAACTTGAATGCCAGCAAGGCGACTCTTAAACACCGCCTGTAGAAAGAATACCATCAAATAAATGATTGAGACAGAAGGGTGTTTTTTTTACTTTACAAATCACTTGTCATACTAACGATCAAACAATACTTGAAGATAGCCCCAAATTGTGTTCAGTGTTGAGGAAAAAACGCGAGAACTATGAACCAAAACCGGCGACATGGAAACAGCGCTCTCGAACGCAGCCGAACTCGATACGCCTGTGATTCTGAACAGAGCCCAATGCAATGTGTCGTGTACGCGAGTGGCGAGGGCGACGCAAACAGACGCTATTTGTTGGAAGGTGAAATGCAACAGCGTTCATGGCACGCGATCGAAGGCAGTCAGTGAATATCGTCTTTATATAGCCGAGGTAAATCGTAGCTGAGGATTGTCGTTCTGATTGTAACCGCCGAGTCAGGCCGACATCACGAATGAGGACACTCGACTATTGACACTGTGGTATAACCTGTTGCTTGTTGATGATGCTGTGTTTTAGGGCCGCGCATCCTTCATCCTATCATCTCTAGCCTTTCTTTGAAGGATGTAACACAGACCTTGTCTTGTATTGAGGAGCTCCTTCACTGGTGAGCCGGTACCTATGCTAAATTTAACCCGTCATCAACTGCATGGCAAATGAATGCGTTGATGAATTGAGTATTTTAACCAGAAGTTTTCTTTGTGACCTAATTACGTAGAATTATAAACTGGCAATCGCACCAAGACACCAACTTAAGAGATTCCACTGGATTTAATACCAATCGACGTCGACATCACAAAGGTAAGTTCAACTATTTGGTGTTATGTGATCCTCCTGAAGACCCCCTCAAAGCTTTCCTCGTTTTCCCTTTAAACTACGAGTCCCGCTCATTCATGAAACGGGATAAAAATAGCATCGCAAGCAATGCTCTGCAGGTCAAAATAAACCCGCTCCTCTCTTCGTTTGGGCTAGTCAAACCTACATTCTACACCCCAACAGTGCACAAGCTTGTCTATGTATTGATTTGGCGGTACGTATATTTTACATATGAAGAAAACCGGTCATCTTAATTGGCAGAACCACAATGGGTAGTCTGGTTAGAATTATGGATTAGCTTATTAACTTTGTATTTATGTTCACATAAATGTAATTAAGTTAATTTGGACAGCTGTGCCAACGACAGAAATGCATGTTGTAACAAATAGGGGTTGTTTAGTAGCCAGCTGTACATTGTACATCACGAGTGAAATCGATGCGTCGTGGCTTGCACGTGCTTCACGATGTTTATGTTTTCATTTTCACGCCATGTTTTGATACGAAACGGTATCGACCGCCAGTGTTGACATGACGTCAAGGTTATAAATAAACCGTATCTTGATATATCGCACATGCGTTTGTGGTGTTGGAGCGGTGCGTTAATCCGGAATTGCTTTGATGGAATTTAAGGAATTTTGAATATGCTTGGCACAATTAATGCTCGCGGTTGCAAACTCTGAGCGATTTCAGGAAAATAACGCATGCCATAATCGGTATTTCTACAAATTTGTTGTCGCTGATTACTGCATTCGTTCAAATAAATGCCTGTCTAAAACCACTCGGTTGGCACATTGCAAGAACGCTCAAGAATGACAGATTGCAAAGGCAGAAATCTCACAACGTTCGCGTGACTTGACGGCTATACACGATCTATAATAGCTTTGATTCCAAGCCTGCTAGTTCCAAGTCAGGCATCTCTCGACATTAGCAATGGTGTAGCTTCGCGCTGACAAGATTGTTGTGGCTCTTTCATTGTGTAACGAACGGATGGAAATATAATTGGCATTGTTGTGAGTTCCGTCCCCTGGAATCCGAGCCTTGCGTGAGAAACAAGAAACATGATTAATTCCGTGCGCCAAGTTCACTTTTATTTTATGTTGTAATTTATCTTAACTGACTTGAATTGACATGAGTCAAAACAATGAGATTTTAGACAGATTTTCGTGAAAACAGAATCGTTTACAAAAAGGTGGGTCATAAAGTATTCAATTTTCACGGCTTTGGAAATACCGTTTTCTACACAGATGTGATATAAATGAGATAATTATTCATACTCTCACAAATAGCAGGGGTAGATTGATTATCGTGTTTAAGTCTTGTGCACATAATCTATAACGGAAAACGCAAAAGCGCGTTTTATTTATCACATTGATCATTAATCCTTATGAATTTTGGGCTGGATTAATGGATTAGTTTTTGTTTTTGTTTTTTTAAAGGTTAAAGGACAGCCGTGAAGATTCGGGGTAGAATAGGTCTTCAGCAAACCATGCTTGCCGTGAAAGGCGACTATGCTTGTCGTAAGAGGCGATTAACGGGATCGTGTGGTCAGGCTCGCTTGGTTGGTTGCATGTCATCGTATCCTTATTGCGTAGATCGATGCTCATGATGTCAGTCACTGGATTGTCTGGTCCAGACTCGATTATTTACCGACCGCCGCCATATAGCTGGAATAGTGCTGAGTGCGGCGTGAAACAACAAATAAACAAACAAAGGTTAAAAGGACATTAACCACGGCAGGGTCCGATGGAATGAGATTCTTGCAATTATGTTGCTGGCATGCTTTCATTAAAGTTTAGAAAAGTGACGAGTAATAAATTCGAGCCCTATTTCATTTAAAACTTACAACTGTATTAAAGAGTCTAAGTGAATTAACGACAGAATGACGATGCGGAGAACAGACTTCTCCCGGGACCGGCATGTTGACACTCTGCCGACTGTGTAGCAATTAAACAGCATGGCACACACGGGAGAATGAGGGAATGATATCTATTGATTGCTTAGATACGACCCCAGATAACCTTGCCACAAGAGGACCTGTTATTCCAATGTTGGTTAAATATGCAATAGACGCTTAGATTTGCGCAGTATCGTTAAATTGTTTATCTAGGAGGGGCATTTTTAAATGAAGAAAATATAGGTTCCAAATTGCAATTTTTTTTCAAAGTCAATGACTTATGTATTAAAGATATAGTGACCATGGATTTATGTACATTCAAATTCCGTCTATTGTTGAGCTGGACACAACCGTTTGTTTTTGCTGATACGTGCTTTTTGAACATGTTGGTTTCGTGTTATAGTGAGTGAGTATGGTTTTACGCCGCTTTTAGCAATATTCCAATAATATCGCGGCGGGGGACACCAGAAATGGGCTTCACACATTGTACCCATGTCGGGAATCGAACCCGGGTCTTCGGCGTTACGAGCGAACGCTTTAACCCCTAGGCTACCCGACCGCCCCGGTTTCGTGTTATAAAGGCACGTGGTCTCATGCACAGCGCGCAGTTCACAAATCGGGTAAAGTTAAGCGACGTTGGTGGCGGAGAGTCGTTGGATTGGTGACCGTGTTAGGCAGCTTGGCTCTTGGGAGTTTCTTGGGCCGCACACTGAACCACTCGCATGGTCTCCTTAATCAAGTGACTTTGTTTCAAATATGCCGCTTTTCTCTTGGCAGTGAAATGGTACCCGGTAGAACGACTGTTAACCGTCTAGCGAGGGGTCGTATACTCCCAAGGGAGATGAGACTAAGAATCCAGTGTACACTGATCCGTTGATCGGGGTTATGATAATGTAGCATTGGCAATCATGCGGCTTTATTTCGGCGCATTATAAATTGACTTATATCCTGTGAGGGCAAGTTCGACACTTTGTCTAAGCTTTGTGTAGCGCGTTTTATACTGACAGAACCTAGCGCAATATGATGTCAAATTAAGAACGCCTGGATGGGAAAGTGAGGTGAGGTTATGGTTGCTTGTTCATTATTCCAAAGACAAACTTCTCACGGGAAATGGAAGATGTTGGACTTACCAACTGTTTTCAATATCCCCAACCTGCGTCCCTTTCAGCTTTCTTCAACATTTTCAACCCCCGGTGTGGATTCCGTGTTAGAATTGGTCCCCGGCAACCTATGCTGGTCGTAAGAGGCTCGGGTGGCCTGAGTCGGTGCCCTGGTTGATGGCGTGTCATCGTAGCCCGATGACGTGGATCGTTGCTCATAATATCAATCACTGGATTATCTCGACAGACTCGATTTTTTTCAGGTTTCCGCCATATAGCCGGTATATTATTAAGTACGGCTTTAAGAACGAACGCATACTCAAATTTTTCAAAATCAAGCTGACACGCCGTGATGTAACTGAAATACTGTTCACAGCTGTTCTGAATTTCAACTCACTCACTCACTCACTTATCGTATTCAGCATCAACAAAACCCAAATTATCACCGTATCAAATCAGTCGTATCGTATCAAGTCATGCGAAGGCGTTAATTACAATTCTACATTGAAAGCTTATAGCGTTTTTGTTTAGTAGCCCATTGACATAGTACACCTATATTATTAACACTATTTGCTTAGACCTCATTTTCCATATGAATAATGTATGAACACTGTCGGATTCAGCTGCAGTATATTATTAATATCCGATTACACATTGCAGATCAATAATCAGTTCCGTGGGAGTCTTTGAAAGAACATCTGTAGCGGATCAGGGAAGGTTTACAGGAAACGGGTAAATTTTGAATTCTTAAATAGGTTGGGAGGGTTAATATTTAAGCCTTTGTTACGTATATATAATATTCTTGTTCTTTTTCATTTGGATTCAAAAGGGGCTCGAACGCGGTTACCACGTTCCCACCAATCTGGTTGGTTGGTTGTGCAGTTGTTTAACGCGGTTGTTTAACGCCGCGCTCAGCAATATTCCAGCTTTATGACGGCGGTCTGTAAATAATCTAGTCTGGACCAGACAATCCAGTGATTAATATCATGAGCATCGATTCACGCAGTTGGGATCGATGACATGCATTAACCAAGTCAGCGAGCCTGACCACCCGATCCCGTTAGTCGCGTCTTACGACAAGCATAGTCGCCTTTTACGGAAATCATGGTTTGCTGAACGCCGCGATATAACTGGAATGCTGTTAAAAGCGGCGTTAAACCCAACTCACTCACTCACTCTTTGTTTTCTTTTGTTGTTTGACGCCGCATTCAGCAATATTCCAGGTACAGGACAGCTTTCTGTAAGTAATCGAGCTTGGACCAGACAATCCAGTGATTGATAGTGTTGGCAACGTCCCACGGCATGCAATCAACTGTAAGTGACCAAGCCTGACCACCCGATCCATTTTGTCCCCTCGTATGACAAGCACGGTTGGTGCATGACTGTCAGCTTGCGTGCATCACATTCGATCAGCAATAGCCACTGTTGTTATGTCAACATGTTGATAAGCTGTCACAAGTTTGAAACTGTTTGACAGCGTTGCCTATTGTCATTGCACCACAAGACACGTGTCTCGCACCACATGACTCGTACCATGGGACTGTTTGAGAAGTGCCTGGGGGACACATGGCTGTTTGGTGACGCTCACAGTTTTAGACCCGTCGGCAAATAGTTCCTCAATGAAACCTCAAAGTCAAAGATGAAAAAGCTTGAAGTCCGCAAAAATAATTCCCGGGAAGCATGATTTGCCAGCACAGAATGTCACTTAAGGTCAGTGTGCGAAGCTTACGTGTACCGTGCTTTCGTCGAGGTCGGTTCGTGATAACATATTTTAACTGACATTTCACCTCAGCATTTTAGCTTTGTCTGTGTGAAACTTTTAAGAAGTGACCATCACCTCCAGTATGCTCCAAAGAGTGGGTGAGTTTGATTTTACGCCGTTTTTAGCAATATTCCAGCAATATCACGGCGTTTGCTCCAAGGAAGTGTGACAGACGCCGCAATTCGCTGAGCAGAGTTGCGCCCCTTGGGCATGCCAGGAAGTTGATCGAGGGACCATCGCTCGCTTTCCTAATTGCGTAGATGGATGCTCATGATGTCAATCATTGGATTGTCTGGTCCTGACTCCGTTATTTACAGATCGTCATCGTACAGCTGGAACATTGCCGAGAGCAGCCTAAAACTACCCCCCCCCCCCCCCATCCCAACAGGACTTGTGTATAAACAAAAAGCGCCTGGCAGAATTCTATTTTAAACTCTCTAAATTGTTAATATTCTAAACTATTAAAATTTGCATCATATATAATCATGAGATAATATATCTCAATACATTTGAGATATATTAATATCCCATTTAATCACATGCACACTAAACATCATAAGAAAGAAAGGATTTTTTTTACTAATGTGGGAATTCTCAAATTAACATAAAAACCTGATTGAAGCTACTTTTCGCAAAACATGACCCGCTTAGGTAACCTTGTGGTACAAGACTTCATTCTTCATGCCAAAACACTGGGTTCGTGTTTTGGGTGTTGTTCCTGGTGCATTCCTCAAAGCGGCGTAAAACCATATGCACTCGACTACAGCTCCACAATAACATTTTGCACTGTGGACAACATCCCGGTTCAATGAGACTGGCGTATAATCTGTGTTGCACGCGTCTGTGAAAAATACCAAGTTGCCTCGCGGATTAGCAGAACGGATAACCAACTACGTGTTTATTTTTGGAATGGGTTGAAGATAACGTTCTTGAAATCCCAGACAGGCGTGATCTCTCTATTATTGCGATACACGTCGTGAACACTCCTACATCCCACGTCCTCTGTAGCGGCAACACCGACAATAGTGGACCCGTTAAGATCCGGGGTAGAACAGGTCTTCAGCAACCCATGCTTGCCGAAAAATGCGACCATGCTTGTCGTAAGAGGCAACTAACGGGATCGTGTTGTCAGGCTCGCTGACTTGGTTGATGCATTTCATCCATCGTGGATCGATGCTCATTATGTCAATCACTGAATTGTCTGGCCCAGACTCGATTATTTCCATACAGACCACCGTCATATAGCTTGAATATTGCTAAGTGCGGCGTTATACAACAAGCACACAAAGATAACTGTAATATGGTCGCATACATTTCCAAATATTATGGACATGTCGGTATAAAATGAAAATCCTCTTACCCATCAAAACAAATACATTTTCTTTCAGGAATAATTTATCCTTTATATCGCCCAGTTTATCAATCAATGGATTGTCTGGCCCAGATCGAGTATTTACATACCGTCGTCATGCAGTTGGAATATGGCTGAATGCGGCTTTAAACGACAACCTAAATAAACCAATGTCGATGAATGCAAGAACGAAAGGAGTGAAATACCGCGTTTATCTCAGTCACAGACTGTTTATGACCCCAAATGTCGTTATATACGGCCCCCTAATATTGCTGGAATATTGCAAGTGTATATTGACATAGCCCTGTGAATCAATCGTGACCAGACACCGCATCAATATCAATGATAAGGGAACAATATAAAAATCGTTTCTTAGCAACAACAAAAACAAACTTGTGAAAACATCTGTGGTTATATTGGAAATTAGCCCAAACAGATAACACAATGCCCTTTCCCGATAACAAATTCACGTCTCAAATCAGTTGTATTGCTTGATAAATAAAAGCGACAAAAAAACATTTCCATGAGCATGAGAGGCCTCTGCTGAAGGTCGAGTTCGTTGTAGGATTTCGACAGTCGGATATAGCTTGTCTGAGTAAATATTTGTAGGTTTCGTGCTCTGCAATTAAAGGATTCACGTTATAAAGCCCGCTGTTGTGGCGTCCTCAGGACGCCAAACAGATGGCGCCCGGAATATCTACAATACGTGGTCATCCATTGAACATTCGGACGGGTGGTTCGGAAATCGCTTTAGGTGGTAAGATCGAGAAAAGCTGTCTATACTCCTGACGATGGACCTTTTGTAATCCCCAACCACATAGCCTAAAGGCCAACACAAATATCTATGTAAATTGATTTTAAACTTTCATCGCCATCCGAGATCGATTCCTTTACCCCCTGTCGACCTTGGGGATACATGAAAAGAAGCAGTGGTAATTCCCTGGCGTAATTAGCACGTGCTGCTCACAAGAGGGCGCCACCGTTTCCGCGGGAGATTGATCGGCTGGGGAATCCCCGGCACGGGCACAGGTGGTCGACGGCGAAAATCAAACCCCACCTGTAGATCTTGTAGCGGTTATCTCCCTTGAAGTGTTTTTTAATTGGGTTTTAAGACGGAATAATTCTTCAAATAGCAAGGTTCGTGTTTCGTATCAACGCTCGAAGTAGGGTTTGATGACTCATTTTGAGACTTAATTGGACTGTAAGAGTTAGTAGGATTGCGTTTAGATGTTTGATGTAAGTTAAATATTGGAATCTACTAGATTATATTCCAATAGTCGTCTTTTTAACAACCTGGTTTCAATGAACGTTTTCCTTTGGGGAATATTGAAGGAAATGGTCCGCTAAAGTCCATGTTTGTCGTAGAGTATGGTAGGACCTGGTGACAATGGGCAACAAGATGATTGTATAAAGTCGTACGGCGGTGTGTTTGTTTGTTTGTTTGTTTGTTGTTTTGATGCCGCACTCGGCAATGTTCAAACTATATGACGGCGGTCTGTAAATGATCGAGTCTGGACCAGACAGTTCCAGTGAGTGACATCATGAGCCTCGATCCACGCAATTCGGATACAATGACATGCATCAACCATGTGAGCGAGCCTGACCACTCGATTCTGTTAATCGCCTATTACGACAAGCACAGTCGCCTTTTACAATGAGCCTGGGTTGCTGAAGGCCTGTTCTATCCCGGATCTTCACTGGGGTACTTTGGTGTGAATCGGTGCTCATACTTTCAACCACTCGTTTTCTTCACCTAGGTATTCTTAGCTGTGAAATCATATCTATTTACTGCGCCATATGTTTTAAATACTTTCATATTCACATTTATTTATTATTCAATGTCTCGTCTTGTGGATTCCCCCATAGTAAAATTCTATTTGAGTCCGATGCTGATTTTTCACATTACAGACTATCGTGAACATTGTTACACTTCTCAAGCTCACGAACCATTAATCTTCAAGTACATAAAATATTTAGATTGGAAATAGTGCTGTTGCGACACTTTAAACTCCAACGGGTCGATGTTACTGCCTGGGACTCTATTAAGATGCTACCCAACTCCTGATAGGGGTAATCAGATAAGGTCATGATATTTATATATACACTTGACATATTAGAACCATTTTTGTTTATCATGGAAACTTAAAATATCCATAGTAACGTTACTGAGACAATAAAAGCGAACCGAAAATATATGCGATATGACAACTGATTGAGATGCCACTGAGATACCATGCCGCAGTTTAACATGAATACCCTAGTCAGACACAGTATGGTACAATCCGAGGCGACCAGGTGTTGTTTTTGTCCTTTAGTGTTGAACACCAGGTAGGGTAACCACAGGTAAATCTTTCTTTAAAAAACTTCTTTTGGAATGATGCGGCCTGGGAACGACCTTCCGACCTTCCGCTCTTTCTTCTAGACCACGGAGGAGGCCTATTGCAACTAAGATTTACCTGACAATAGGAGGGAATTCATGGAAAGAGACTCTTGTTTTCGTTATGCGTCGAGAATATGTCCTTGGATAAATAACCTCAGAAACTTGTGTTTTTATGACTTTTTCTGTCAGCTTTCAGTTCAAATTTGGAGCAAAGTTAAAGCATTGAGAACTGATTAAGA